ATAAAAAGTTACACCTAGGAAGAACCTTGGATTAAAATGACATTTCCATACCAAATGACAGTTTAAGCCAGAGTTCAACTAGGGTGTAACTTTTATTAATAAAGGGGTTAAAGTTTTATTACTTCTTAAGGGTTTTATTATGGGTTGCTAAAGTGAATAAACCCACAAGACCCAATAAGTCCACCCACAAGATGGACCGACGACCTCATAAAGGTAGCGGGAAGGCGCTGGATGTAGGCCGTACCTATTATTATTTTCATACTAAGGAGTCAGACCTTATAGAATAAAACGGGATGTCCGAAGACTATATGTAGAGGCACATGCAGTTAGATATCTTATGTGTGGTTTTAGAGGAAATGGAAATGGAAAATTTGTATTCTATTAATTTATTCGATCATTTTATAACAGTCACAAAATAATCAAGGCTGAAGTAGACTATAAACGCAGTTATATTAGAACCGAGACTCAGATCAAGTTAACCTGAGAACCTTCGAGTAGGTAATTGAACGCAAACTGACCTGCTTCTAAGTGACTATTTGTAACTTAGAAGTTAAGAAGTGTATTTATAGAAAGACTGACTACGCAATGGTTGTAGTTCATTTTATGCCAATCAATATACATTTTTAATAATATTGAACAGTTCATATTGTAAACTCTCTGCCTCTATATTCCTAGAAGCACCAAAGAAAGCCGAAAAAAAAACAAATTCATTTCTCAAGATGCTTTTAGATAGCAGTTGAAGCATAGAATGTATTTTTTCGGAATGGCTAGATACCTGTCTATAATCTACTGGCCATTAACACACCCATTTAGATTCTCAGCGGTGATAGCAATAGCAGACTCGACAAAAGAGTTATCGCAACAAAATAAAACTCTATATAGGTAGAGAACCTTCGCTCGTGACACCTCTTGGTATTCATCAAGAACCCGGCCTCCCTTGGGGTTCGGGAACAATGTATATTTACCGGGAAAAGCATTCAAAATTTCGAGTTAAGACCTGCTAAAATGTATAAATAGGAATTTTAGGAAGCTTTTTCATGACATTAAATTATATTTAATAAACAGACACCTTTATACTACGACTACCTACTTCATATTTTTTTATCATTTTAGGAACGTTTATAAATTTTGATATTACAACATGTCACAACACAACGCTGTAATTTATGAAAACAATTGTTGGGCACCGGGTGTGCCCGTTACTATACCTATATAATATATTTAATTGATTTGGAGATGTTCACTTTTTACTATATTGAAACACGTCTTTGACTAATGGTGTTTAATGAACAACTGAAGTAAAAAAGTAAAAAAACAAAGCGTCAAAATATAAAAAACATTCCAAAAGAAAAAATACAAAAAACGCATATAAAAAAGGTCTGTCGCCAACATGGCGCCCCGCGGTGTGAAGCAACCATAAAGCAGTCAGGCGACAGTCGGCAGCAGCACCAGCTTCCTGACGGGGCGACGTAATGTGCCTCCTTTCGTGGCAACGTCAGCGCATCTGACGACTCCCCTTGATCCAGGCCACACGGCGGTCACTCTGCCTCGGGGCCAGGTTCCTCTAGGAAGAGCTCCATCACCAATTAGGACAAGGTCGCCAACTTTCAGCTGAACCTTTGGCTGCGGGGGTATGCTGCGCCTTGGTACGAGTGTTGGAAGGTACTCATCAACCCATCGCTTCCAGAAATGGTCAGCTAACCTTAACCCTTTCTTCCACTGGGTGCGTCCCCAAAGGTCTGTGTCTGAAACAGGACGCAGGACTGGTTCATTCGTGGCTGTTCCAATAAGGAAATGGAATGGTGTTAGGGCCTGATCTTCGTGCGGCGCCACGGGAACATGAGTAAGTGGACGCGAATTGACCAACGCTTCTGCTTCCAGTAAAAGCGTGTGCAGCGTCTCCTCGCGGGGTGATCGTTCTTTTAGGGTTACCGATAGCGCAGTCTTGACGGACCTCACCAGCCGTTCCCACGCTCCTCCCATCGATGGAGTTATTGGTGGTATAAACTTCCATACGATTTTATTGCTAGCAGCGAAGTCGTATATTTCTGTTAGCTTGTTGTTAGTTCCAACAAAAGCAGTCCCATTATCGGAGTAGATGAGCGAGGGGGTACCTCTTCTAGCTATAAATCGCCTCAAAGCCATGATAGCAGAACAGCGCGCTCGAGCTCGGCGACGCGGCGTGCGTGCTCGGCCTGCGCCGCGAGCTTCTGCGCCACCACGGTGGCGCTGGAACGGCTAGAACGGCCTGAGCGGCCCGAAGGGCACGAGGCGGATGATGGTTGTGTCGTGTGGGGCAATTGCGGCAAAGCCGATGACGAACATGAACTCATTGGTTCCATAGTAGTAGCGGTAGGTTGCTCACTTTGCTCAGCCATTTTCCTCTTGCTTCTAGTAAGCATAATAGGGAAAATTGAAGGCAACACTATAAAGTAAATAAGCTAGTACTTACCGCGAAGGACCATTTGTTGGGCACCGGGTGTGCCCGTTACTATACCTATATAATATATTTAATTGATTTGGAGATGTTCACTTTTTACTATATTGAAACAAGTCTTTGACTAATGGTGTTTAATGAACAACTGAAGTAAAAAAGTAAAAAAACAAAGCGTCAAAATATAAAAAACATTCCAAAAGAAAAAATACAAAAAACGCATATAAAAAAGGTCTGTCGCCAACAACAATGATATTAGTTTCACAGATAATTAATAGTTTTTACTGAAATTTCTGAACGTTAATTTGTCAAATTATTTTATTGGATGACACTTGAACTGTATTTTCAAAATATTTAGCGCAAATTAAAAGGTATTTAGAATAAATTAATACTTTATTATGTGTAAACTAAAAAATCTTTTGAATTGCTTTCAAAGGAATAATAATTTGCCGTATTATGAAAAGGTAAGCAACTATTATGAAAACGTTATTCAATGTTAATGAACAGATGAACAGTAATAACAAAAAGACCTTTAAATAGACTTGGGCTTTATTAATCTAAGGACTTAAATTGAAACAGCACTGATGATAGCCTTATTCCTAATAAAGAGTTTCTTTAAATAAGTATTTGACATAGGTATCTAATGTAAGGTAGTCTAGGGTGATAAATGACTTGTTGCCATTCACCTAAAACCTGACTTGTTGCCATTTACTTTATCCTTGAAGATTGCACTCCACAGTGTATTGCTTAATTAATTTGGTACAAAAATTAGTTCACTCATTAGTAGAGATGAAACGGATATCCGGCAACTATCCGGTAGGCCGGATATCCGGCCTAAATTTACTATCCGGCCGGATACCGGATAGTAACTCACTATCCGGCCGGATACCGGATATTTAAAAACTACAACAATTTCCTATTATTGAAATGAAATACTTTAATCTTAGAGGTAAACATCAATAAAATGGCTTATAATAATGACGGCTTTTATTTAAAGTCCAAAAAGTTACATAAAGCCATAATATTAAGGCCTTTAAAAAAAACTAATTTCTTTTTCTGGGCTATTCACTCTAATGACGAATACATAAATAGTAAATAATATACACGGTGGCCAAAACAGTGAGGTCTAAAAGAAAAAAGATTCCTTACATCAAGGTGTATCTAAATCACCCCCATGTGTATAATACGATTTTGCTTAGTTTAGGAGATAGAGTTAATTTTGTGATATTTTAAAATTCTATGACCTAGTAGGCTTTAAAAAAGAATTATCTTATTTTTGGGTTGTTTTTTCTCAGATTTCTTTTTTTTTGACAGATTCGATATTAATTGCAGATATTTGATAGAATAAAATAATCACCTTCCTATCTTTGATGCAAGATATAAAAGTTTTGCTAGAAACATTAAAATTATGCTTTTAAAAGTTTAAGTAAAAAAAATATTATTCCGAAATAACAGGATTCCCAATATTAATTCACTCTAAGAAAGTCAAAAACATGTAACGGAATCTCCGACTTACTACTTTAGTGGAACGATTACAGGAAATAGTGGCCCATTAAGTACATGTTTTTTTTTGTATTATTATGAATGTTCAGGAAACGGCGCAGTTTTTGAAATGGTTTTGGACCTATGGCAGTAATTTTTTTTACTTAAACTTTTAAGTTGAAAGTTTGACAGTGTTCTGCTAAAAGCATAATTTTAATGTTTCTAGCAAAACTTTTGTATCTTGCATGAAAGATAGGAAGGTGATTATTTTTTCAAATATCTGCAATTAATAACGAATCTGTAAAAAAAAAGAAATCTGAGAAAAATCAACCCAAAATAAAGATAAACATTTTTAAACCCTAGTAGGTCATAGAATTTTAAAATATCACAAAATTAACTCTATCTCCTAAACTAAGCAAAATCGTATTATACACATGGGGGTGATTTAGATACACCTTGATGTAAGGAATCTAAATTTTTCTTTTAGACCTCACTGTTTTGGCCACCCTGTACGTTAAGTAAAAATATTGCCAAATAAAATAGGCGATCATTTTTCACTGATGGTCTGATGTCATGATGATGCAGTTCGGTCAGATTACGCAGCAAGTAAACGAATCACACACTCACGAAGGCAACCGAAATCGCCCGAATTTATCTGCCCCCTAGACAAGTGTCAAAATCCGACATTCTATTCGGACTGATTCGATTTTCGAAAAGTGTGACTAGTCTAGTCTACTAATAGACCCACTGATTGCGTTCGAAGCACCTGTGCGGCGCTAAACTCGTCACGACATGCAACGAGACAATGGGCCAACTATCCGGCCGCCGGATATCCGGCTATCCGGCCTAGCAGCTGGCCGGATATCCGGTATCCGGTATCCGGCCAAACTACTATCCGTTTCATCTCTACTCATTAGGCATTACAGCAGCAGCGACCGTATGCACTTGGTCTCAATCAGCGAACATGACGAAGCGTGACAACTTCATTGAGAGCAATGCAATAGTATTTCGCACCAGATAACCCCCACCAAGTTGTCCACTACAGTGGCGGCTTGCGCGGGCGCACCTCTCTCTCGCCGGACAGTGACACAGTGACCGTTTTAGCGGTCGAGGGCTCAGGCCATGCGCCACTTCAATATATCTATAACTGTCGTCGTCATCGTATACCTACTTGTCGTGACGCTCCCGGCGAAGATGCCGCCAACCGAAGTTCGTCCGAGACACGATCTCAATTTCGCCGAAACTGTTTACGCCAAACTTTCCGGTGCATGTGAGTAAATCAAACTTTCATGTTACACTCTTTATCGAACAAACGCGTTCAATATTCATGTGCTATATGTATTCACAGGTAGAGCATTAATGGACCTTCAATATAACTCGCTAAGTGATCAAAACGACTTAATAAAGACAATGAAAATTATATACCTGGATGGTAACGACATGAAAACCTACCCCATCGACGCCGCATATGTCGCACTCACGAAGCCAGCTAATTTTGATATATCAAAGCAAACAAAGATTGTAATTCACGGCTATAAGGACAACTCACAGTCGGCAGTGCCTCTGGCCTTAGCTCAAGCATACAATGAGAAGAAAATGTTCAACGTTTTGCTAGTCGACGCGGAGGAAATGATTAACAAATGGTACATCCTCTCCGTTCATAACGCGCGGCTGGTTGGAAAACGATTAGCAAACCTACTTGCAAACTTAGAAAATTTTGGAGCGAACGCTGAAGATTTTCACTTACTCGGCATAAGTCTGGGTGCACACATCGCCGGGTGGGCTGGTAAATACTTCCGACAGTACAAAGGACACAACTTGGGCCGCATCACGGGCCTGGATCCGGCGGGACCCTGCTTTTCATACGGGCACAGCGATCAAAGACTGGATAAAACGGATGCTAATTATGTGGATGTGGTTCATTCGAACAGATTAATTCAAGGAGCAATTGAGCCTCTGGGTCATTCAGACTTTTACATCAATGGCGGAGGACCGACTCAGCCAGGATGTTTCATGCCTTCCTGCAGTCACTTGCGAGCTGCTGAAGTGTATATAGAAAGCGTAAGAAACCCGAAATCTTTTGTGGGTGTCCAGTGTGAGAATTGGGAGCAATTTAAGAAAAACCAGTGTGTTGATAAGGACTATGCAGTGCTGGGATACGGCTCGTCGAGCGCGACCAGAGGGCTCTACTACTTGAGAACCTCGTCACACTCGCCATTCGGCCTTGGAATGAAAGGAGCAAAATCTGTGAATTCAAAAGTTGATCCTTGGTTAGAAAGCCTTAATATCACTTAATTGGCTATTTCAAAGAATATTTCGTATAATAAATTGTTGCCATACCGTTTACAAAAACAAAGTTTTTTCTTGTGCAAAGTTTCCTGTCTGAAAGTGGGCTGTGTATGTTCGCATTGGTTCGCTGGTATCTACAGAAACTTGGTAAGTGACTTTATTGCTATCAAATTTCGAAGAACTTTTCAGCGATAAAGTCGATAATTACCTATATTTTAAAAAGTTTTGCATATGTTGGAAAGTTATCCAATTTCCTTTATACAATCATCAGTTGGCAACGTAATACGAGTAGATAACAGTCCCCATTTCTGAAATAATATCAAATAGAATATCAAATATGTATGTAATACAGTGTCTCGTTTTATTTGTATTTATTTAAGGAATGATTCCACTACTCAAATATGACAACGCTTTATGAAACCAAGATTAAAAATAAAGAAAAAATACCACCTCATTCTTCATGCCGAATTTATATAAGAAGGTGCTTATTTCAATTTTAAGTTCTCCATCTCCTATATTTTTTTGAGCTTTGAATACGTAGAGTACGAGCTACGTACAAAATTGCTGAACTCATTAGAATAATAAATGCCTACAATATTAATCTCGTTCCCACTTCCGCTAATGTTTGGTAATTCGCTAACCGCGTCGAATGCAAAGTGTCATGGACATAAAGAAATCGTAAACCGACAGTGATTAATTATCTGCTAATAATGCTCTCTGTCAAGATCTAGCTCTAGAAAACTCCATTTTGAAATAACATTGAAATTTTGGTTTTGAAAGACTGAAATTAATCTAGTGAAACCAATGCTACATTGTTGCTTCATTTGGGAGCGAGAACAATACATTTTAAATGATTTCTAAGTATCTGAAATGGTTTTTTAGACGAAGTTATGGAAACACCGGTTTGTCGTCTGATCGGCAACACGTGATGGAAACGACATTTTCGCAACGTCGCGCAACGTTGCCAGGGCCGCGCCTGATACCATCCACTTAACGCTTGCAGCGTGTTGCGAGTGAATTGCGATCTATCTGCAGGTGACGTTAGAAGATAAGAGTTAGGTCTACGCTGGATTTTTGTAGGTATTTAGTTCGTATATTGTAAATGATCTAAATAATTTCATGATTAACATGATACGAAATGAAGTAATAATAATTACCTGTTTGTGCCTGAAGTTTTGACCAGGTTGCCCGGCCGCGGTCACAGGCTGAGTCAATTTCAAATGTCAATTATGCAACGCGAAAGTATAAAAATAACAATTTCATGATTTTGATATAGGTACGCTTACCTTATGGGTAGAAAAATCCCATCTACAAGTTTTGAAAATGACGAACTGATATTAATAATTTAGATGCTATTAGTTTTGAGTATCGTTATTTTCCTTTGATGTTTACTACACTATGATTAAAGCCATTAAGTATTCTTAAATAGGCTGTCACTCGCAGTCAGAAGCCGCGATGCTTCGTGATAAGGTTCATTTCGTTACATCACCTGATTATAGTCACTGTGTAACCGTAATAATGACGACATTCGCCATTATTACCGCAAGCCAAGCAACACCATAAAAATCTTTAATCAACCATGAAATGTTTGTTATTGCAAGGGGAATGCGTTGATACGAAGCAATTTTATGCTTTCAATGAGCTAATTTTACATTAAATGTGTTCCCAAATTTTGTTACATACAAATAATTTAATTATTAAGAGCAACAACCAAACAAGATTTGCATTTAGATCGTTACGCAAAGATTTTAATTTTATTTCTTTAACGTGCGTGACTTAATTCTGTAATACTTATTTATATAACTGAACTAAATATGTACTTCCTATCCGCGACCATAATAATAGCTTTGTTAAATCTACTGCAATGATGAAAGTCAATTTACAAACTACACCACCTTTAAGTATAGGTTGTAAAGTCAATTTACAACCTATACATAAAGGTGACGTATTTACCTACGTTCAGTTTATCTAGATAAGAAATCTAGGTTTCTCTATACATCGAAACCCAATACATGGAAAGTCCATGGTATTTTATAAACACATTCAAGTATGTAGCGATCATAAAACATAGTACCTACAACTAAATAGGTTTACTTACTACTTAATCAAATCTTTACTGGTGTTTGTATGGTTATACCTGATCTACCAAGTCCGCTAACAATGACAGCAAAAGCTGTATCGCATCTGATGTTGTAGCGCTAGCCAATATTATAAATATTAAATATCAAGCTACTCTGTAAATTAGAACACTACACATAGCCCAGATAAAACAGCTAGTTAATCGCAAAATATTGGCAAAATTAAAATGGGCCAGCAGTAGCCAGCGTTTTTATTAATATATTGTAAATAATAAATTTTTTACCAGTTTCATTTTTTATTCATGATTATTATGCTACACTAAAAAATGTAGAAATAACGAGAAAAATTACTCAGCGATTAGCTCGCCGCGTACCGACTTCGCAGCCATTACATTTATAGAGCAACGCTCCGTGTTGATATACTGACATGTGACATAAGATATTAACCACGTGTTTTGTGACAGTTGTTGGTTTTCTTCTTTTCAGTTGTTCAGTGTGCTTACCATGAGTTTACGTTAGGTGTGCTCGCTAGCGACTACGTAAAAAATTGACATTAAATGTATGACATATTGTACAGTGCCCCCTAGCGGCTACTTTCAAGAAACAAAATCTTCATAGATTTTTTTGACGTACTCGCTAGCGAGCACTCCGAACGTAAACTCATGGTAAGCACACAGTTCAATTTGTCGGCCGTTTGGTGTAGTGGTTCAGAACGGACTACTATGCCGAGAGGTCGCGGGGTCGATTCCCGGCCGGGCAGAAATTGAAATGATGAATTTTAATTTCTGTGACGGGTCTGGGTGTGTCTATGTATAATATTTATGTATTTAAAAAAAAAAGTATATAAGTAGTATATCCGTTAAGCCAGCACCCATAACACAAGCATTAAGTTGCTTACTTTGGGCACAAAATATAACAGAAGACAAACTCCATACTAAACGCGCTCGAGCCACGCACACATAGACACCGCTCCTAGCAAGACTGTCTTGGACGAATGCGAGCGCGACGTGGCGCGACAGACGTTCGCCACACGTTCGCTGTGGTTCGCTTGAGTCACGCGCCGGTCAACCGCCTGTGATATTATTTTGTTTTGCGAAATTGACGAAAATGAGTGAACAGAAAAAGTCGTATTATAATTGTTCGGTATTTGGTTGCTTAAACTCATCATTAAATACCGAATTTTCATTTTTTAAATTACCAGTTGATTCGGGGAGGTATGTAAGTTATTTATTTGAATTTCAATTGAAGTTGAAAGCCAACTCAATTATTAGGAATATCGAATTGTTTTAGAGAGGTTTTAGGAATTATTGGATAACTAGCTTTTGCCCGCGGCTTCACCCGCGTGAAATTTAGTTTGTCACAGATCGTCATAAATTATAGCTTATATGTTATTCAGGGTTATAAATAATAATACTGTAAAGTTACATCAAAATCCGTTCAGTAGTTTTTGCGTGAAAGAGCAACAAACATCCAGACATCCAAACTTTCGCATTTATAATACCTATATTAGTTGGATAATAGTGTCAACCACTCAACTAAATACTACTTCCTTCTCGTGTATTTGTTTGCAAACTATTACTATAATAACGTACTAAATATAAATAAGTATACGTGGATATCTGTTATTGTCTTTCTTGACGAAATAACGAAATAAACACAACACATGACAAGACAACCCTGGCGCGACGGCCGAGCGTGCGAGCGAGAGAGGTATGCAAACGAGGTACATACATGAGTTTACCTTCTGTTATATTTTGTGCTTTGGGGCTAGCTGGCGCTGTGTGAAATTGTCCAAAGATTTATTATTATTATTATGTTTGTACGCTTTGGAGCTCACGGGTCAAAAGTGGCCCGGTCCTTTATAAGGCTTGCGTGGGGATACAGATCCAACACGTAGAGGCCGTTTTTTATTATTATTATTATTATTATTCGGGCTACAAATAACTTGTTGTAGTAACGTGTCAGTTCGTAATGAAACCGACTATCGCGCTCCACCAACGGCAACACGCTTTGTCGCCCCGCTCAAATCCCTAATTACACCATCACGTAACTGGAGCTACCTACTAGCATTCATTCTAAAATTAGTATCAACGGAATGCAAGGAAATGTCATCAACTAAATGTCAACCTTCAGGTTGTACCTGCTACTGGAGTACGAGTTTAGCCTAGGCGCAGACCATCGACTTTTAGTTGGCCGATAGTTGGGCCCGATTTTAATTTGTATGAAGAATCGGCCTATACCAAATCGGTGTAATGTGCTCACTTCCATACATGTCCATACTGATTAACAGCCCGACCCAACTATCGGCCGACTAAAAAGGGTCTAAAGGCCGCCTAGGCTAAAGCTGCATTCAAAATTACAATGTAAACATAAACTAGTTTGTAGACAGTACTTACTATAAACTAAGATTTTAGCAATAACATTCTAAAAACTAGTTTTGTTCAAATAAAGCATTGTGTAGATTCCGAGTATCGAGTGGCTGTCAAGCCTAAATCATTTTATTTCTATTTATATAAATATCTAGAACTTATATCGACCTCAATTATAAAGTATTACTAAATTATTCATTTGTAATAGATTTGAACTTAAAACCTAACAATAACAAAATTGGAGTTCAAATCTAATTTTACTTTTAGGTCATTACCAAGCGGAAATTTTGGGGTAAAATCCTTTGGCTTTCGAATGGTACCAATATTGGTGGGAAGTGGGGATGAATACGTTTGAAAGTGCTTGTCGCGGGAGGTGCGATTTATTTCACGCCGAGTGTAGTTTGTAGACAGTACTTTACTGTAATCTTAGATCTTAGAAATAAGATTCTAAAAACTAGTTTTGTTCAAGTTCAGCATTGTGTCGATTCCGAGTATCGAGTGTCTATCAAGCCTAACTAAATCATTTTTCTATTTTTATAAATATGTATCTAGAATTAGGTTGACCTCTATTATAAAGTATACTAAATTA